ATGTGATGGGTGCATCAGCAATGTGTATTGAAGTGTTTGTAACTGCCCATGTGGATGACTGGACTATAGGAGAGGCCAGTCGGTGAGTAGGACCAGTCTTTAATCTAAGAGGACTTTTTCATAACGAAACTTATGAGTTTTCTGATTTTATTGTATATTGCTTGTGATTTAGATTTGTTAGGTGTAGTTCATTTTACATCTCCCCTCTCTGTGTCTCTCCCTTCCCTAACTCTCACTCTCTGCTCCTCGCTCTCGCCCTTTCTCTCCATCTTCAGTGTTTTTGCACTTGTCTTCGTAGCCTTGTCTCTGTTCCCTCCCAGTGTTCCCTGTATCTAGTCTGTTTCGTCTCAGTATTTGTTTCCCCTGGCCTTTTGTGTCTGGTCCATCTGTTTCCTGTTTTATTTTGGTAGTCTTTGCCCTGTGTGAACTGTGTTCTGTTTTGCTTTCGATGTCCTGTTAGTGTGTAATTAGTTCTACCTGTGCTCCCACCTGTGGTCCAACTTCTCGTTATCCTGTGTATGTGTTTAAGTCCTCAGTCTCCCTCTGCTCATTGTGGCGTCGTGTGGGTCCTTGTGTTCTGTGTTTCCCTTGTAACTTCCTGGCTGCTAATTGCTAGTTGTCTGTTTCTAGCTTATAGTTCCCAGGTTCTAGTTTCAGAGTTTTTAATTTTGGGGTGGAGTTTCGTCTTTCAGGAAATAAAGCTGCCACTTTTAGTTGATCTTTTTGTTTCTGAGCCCTGTGTTTGGCTCCTACCTCTGCCTGCTATACAACCGAACCTTGACAGAAATAATTCTGGGTTTTCAGGTCATGTCGCTCACTAAAATGACCATACATGGTTGACAGAGGGCTGAGTGAGATAGTTGCTGAGATGGCGATCAGACATTAGGAAGGAGAATGCTCGGGACGTACCAGTTTTTGAGGACCCTGAGCAGGGCTAAAATAATGAGGTCCAACGTCAATTATGGATAAAAAGTGCTTAAGAGGGGTCTCACCTTCAAGAGGGCTTTATTCTTTTCCTCTTATAAGAGATAACTTTGATGGACTGCCTAATCTTGAAGAATCTGTCTCGACTTCTTGAACTGACTATAACTAGGAACTAGCAAATTTGGATGCTAGGTTATCTGACTCATGCCATAAACATCTCGACAGTTCAGTAGGAGCCGTATAAATTCCACACATGGGGCTTGATGTAGTGGTCTCAGACACATGTCCTCCACAGAGGACAAAAGTGAAATGCCGGGTCTTACAAGACTATGATATAATAATAACTATTTCAACATATAATCATCATATATAAAAGTCAGACTAGAGCGCTTATATAATGTCCTTAACAAGATTATTAGAGTTTATTACAGCTAAACCAAAACTATTGAAATAAAAAAAGAACCAGAACTTTAGGGAAAAGAAAACTAAAAACAACTTACAAAAGAAAATGACAGTAATGCTGGTCTTTGATTAAACACAGTAGCCTATAGACTCTATTCTCCCACCAATCTAGAGATATAAAACAATAATGTAACTAAATCATTATGTGGCAGACTGTCAGTCTATGACACGCTCTGCTTACATTTCTGTCTATGCAGATTTAAATGTTGACTAAAACAAATTGAATATGCTGCTTTTTCCCCTTCTTCATCATTACATTAGTAAGCTGTTGCCCCGCCCCTTTAATACCAGTTTCATAGTGTTTGCCAATTATAGTGATGATTTGTACACACTGTGAATAAATAATCAAATCTGACGTCAGCACCACACTCAGGGGTTAATCTTTGACCGGTTTACAAGGAGTGAACTCTTTAAACTTGTTAATTACTTAGCTGTTACATGTTGCTCCATTTTAAAGAAAATATTAGTCACTAATGTGTGTAACAAAACAGTACCCTGACACATTATGCAGAGAATATAAACCCTGAGTAAAAACACACACACGCTTGGATCACGTGCACACAGTTAAAGATGACGTGTAGTCATACATGTCCACGTAGCTTTATTGGGTTTCTGTGGCGACACAACCGCAAACAGACACAGTTAAAGGTGATTTACATAAAGTCAGTCTGTTATTCAAAGTTTGAGTGAAATGTCCAGCGTGTAACTTGTCATTGGCCAGAATAACAGGTTGCAAAATCAGCCTCTGAAGGAAGATAAGACACACCTCTGCCATGCCACCAGGTTTTTGCAGCCCTAGAGATCAGCACCACTGAGCAAGTAAGGACATTTTTGTTATTAATCCCTAATCTATCTTGCGTATATATATTTAATGAGTTTGAAGTTATACTTTTTGTCTCTATTTCAGAAACAAGGAAATGAATAAGGTTAATATAAGAGATAAATAATTCTGTAGAAGCGTGTCCCAAAGTTTTGTTCTGCTTTGAAGTATTTCCATTTCACGCCACTTTACTCACACGAAACCATGATAAAGATTTCATTTGGCTTAAAAGGGGAAAAATGTATCATGTCAAGAGTCCATCTCAAATATATTTTTCTGGCCTTTGTAAAGAGCCTGGCCCTCAGATTGAGGAAAATCTTTACTAAATTAATAAAGTATATAGAAAATGTTTTATTAAAATTAAACTTAACTTCCACCAACTGGAAGAGTAAAATAAGACAGTGAATCAGTTATTTGCAGTCTGATATATGAATTGATAAAAGACACAAACTCCAATGTTGGTGTTTCAAAATTTAAAAGGTTATTTTTTATAACCCCAGTTCCAAAAACATTTGGTTGTTTTGTAAAATGCAAATAAAACAGAATGTAATAGTTGTAATACCTTGAAAACCCATATTTTGTTCACAACAATCAGAATGTAGACAACGCGTTAAATCTTTAAAATGAGAAAATGCACCAATTTTAGACAAATATTAACTTTTCATTTCATTAATGTAACTTTGTTGAGATGTGTTTCTGCTTTCTGTAAATGAAATATGAGATTTGCAAATTGTGCAAAACTGTAAATAAAAGCAGAATGGAACAGTGTCCAAACGTTTTTAGACTTTGGTTTGTACGTTAAAGAGGAATTCCATCATTTTTACAAAACAAAGCTGTTTTTATTTTTATTTTTTATGTCATTAATAAAGTTTGATAATAAAGCATAGGGGTTGTTTTGTGGCCAACCACTGATAGAGCTACAGATTTATTAGCAACCACACACACTGTCACATTGTTTTTGGCTTTACAATATACAAATATTTTCATAGCTGATTTACATGCAGAGCTTTTATTTTTACACCCTCAATATATCTTTTACCTATACTGCACAAAAAGGCATCACATGATTACTTGGAAAATGCATTAAATATTAAACACCTGTTTGCAGTTTCTATTTGTGAGCTGTGCTGAAATATCAGGGGGCTGAGGCTGAATCTTCACTCCACCAATCAAATCATTTGAGTTCCCCTTGACACTGGACACATGGAACATTTCTATTCCTCTCCTGCTCAGCTCACATCCACCTGAGGACACATTCACCTGACTTTCTGAAGCAGACATCTTGTTTTTTCATCACTTGCCTTCAAGCTGAGGTAATGTTTGATTACAATTCACCTTATACCTAATTCCTTCTGTATGTTAATGTGATGTAACTTTTT